ATCCCAAAGATCTTGGCCTTGTAGGTAAGACTCAATACACGTTGCCCATGTGTTGTAATTTTTGTTGTTCAACTTCTTGATTCCTCCAACAACTTGAAGATCTCCCATCGTGTTGGCAAAACTTCGATAAGCCGAACAAGATTAACGAATAATCTTGCGAAGTACTAAACTTCTCACGATTCTTAAAAACTTCACTAGAGACGGTCCCTGATTGTACCGCGCTGATACCAATTGTTGGGAAAAAACTAGAGTACACAACTCTAACACAAGTGTTGGAGAGACAACACAAGTAAACAAATTACTTGTATTACACACACAAAATATTACAACACTCACAAGGACACAACTTTAGAAGCAATGATACTCACTCACTTTCTAGAGACACACTCTAGATCACTCACACTCCTACAAGACTATTCTGGCTTCTCACTCTCACTTGGTTGCCTACTACTACTACTTGATTTCTTGTTGGTTGATTTTTTAGCAACACACACACCTATTTATAGGTGTGGTTTTGCCGACTACAATTGCCCACCGCCTTTGGGCTTTGCATGGCAGCCACACAATTGTTATAATAGCTAGACAATTCTAGCTTGTTCCCACCGACACACTCATGCTAGAAGATTCTAGCATATGCATGTTTTCTCCTTTGTTTCTTCATCATGGGCCAGTCCTTATTATTTGGGCTGGTGTTGTACTTTTAACATTGGCTTAATGGCATTGGCAAACTACTATCTCATCCAAATTCTGAAGGCATTAAAATATTTTCAAAAAGGGTTGGCATTTGGGCGGCTTAATTATTCAGCATTTCAGGCTATCCCAAACTTTAACTGTCATTTCAAGCTCAAGTACAGGAGAACAACTTATATGGCAAAAGTAAACCCTTATCATAGTGTCCCATACGATGACAAAAGTATACCGTTACTGTAGCATTCCGTGGCATGTAAGTCCTCCAAGTACAAGGTAGGTTTGGTTTTAAGATTGATCACGGAGTCAGACTTCAACTTATTTTTCAACTAAATTTGAGAATGAACCAAGTCATTTCATACGGTTCCAACAACAACCAAAAAACTAATTTCACTACTTGATGAAATCAAATAACAAGATTATTTACTAAATTCTATGAAACGAAGTTGAAGTCCTTTCATGTCCATACTAAAGCTAAGAACTTCCAGAGACTGCAAAGTAAAATATAGATAGAATAAATGAATACTTGTTTGGTAGAAAACGAAAACACGAATATATAGGAGGACCAGGTAAAGACAGAGCCCTTAAACCAAGAGTTCCTGCAACATAGACTCAAACTCAAAGACATCGAATACTATGTCTTGTACACAAAGCAGAGGGAAAGATCAACAATTAGGTAAAACAGAAAAGAAAATCAACATCCTTCAAATACATGTTACCGTTACATAATCAACGAAACAAATATATAAAAGTGCTGTGAAATTATAGTAATACCAAGTTACGAACCATAAACAGCCTTATAACGCCTGAATCATGAAGCAAAAATCATGTCACCGTGAAAAGCTATGAAGCATGTTGCTACTTTATTATATGTAAAGACGTTTAGAGAAATTAACTCTCTTATTCATGTTGAATATGTAAGGAAGACTAACAAACGTTAAGAACAAAAGTCATATATTAAATTGAGGTACTTCAATATCCAGTAAAATACTTACTTCTACATGCAGTGATTAGGACAAAAGAACGGAGAAGGATTTACTCGAAGTGATCGTCACGACCTCCCTCTACTGTGGCACCTTCCTCCATGTTGCAGAACTCAAGGAAATGGATCGGGCAGTGGTCCTGGTGATAGTACTCCCTCAGCATCCCAAGCTTCATGTCATACTTCATGCTTGCTGTATGCCTCACCCCCATGAAGTTGTAGTTCCACGGGCCATTATCAGGAATCTTGAAGAATCCAAGAAACCAGTCGCTGAGAATCATCTGAGCTTTCTCAGAATGTGTTGGAAAGGTATCCTTGTGGATTAACTTTGCTTCCGCTGTCTCCTGTATTAGCACTACGTCCCCACTCATAACCCGCCAGAGTAAGCTTACATGCAGGCAACCAGCAAGAACCTGGAGTGAAGCTGCAGGTTAAAATGTTGCACTTCTCCCCATTCCCTTGCTTGGTGTTCTCCAGCCATGCGACATCCTGGAAAGAAAGCTGAGGAAGCTCATTTGGCTGCGTGTGCATCCATCCCAAAGGCTCTAAATCATTGAGGAAATCATTCTCAGAAAGAGCTGATGGCAGATGAACTTGCTGGTGAGTCCCCCACTGTGGTGGCATGACCATGCGTCGAATTTCCTTAACCCGAGGGTTGTCGGGTGGGCTTACACCGTGCAAGTAACCAGCAATTTGCATCATGCCTCTAGTGTGTCCACCAGAAAGGATTTTTCTCCAAGACATGGTACTGCTTAAATTCTGTGCTAACTCTCCACCCTTTGTTGTCGTAAGCCAAAGTCTGCCGGTCCTTCTGGAACAAAGTACTTACATATGCGCGGTATTCCCATATCCCGTGACTCTTTCAAATCTTCTAGGGTTAGACGCCGATTTTGTGTCTGACCTTCCTGCCTAATTTCATTGCATATTCTGCCAAACACGTTGAGAACCTATAATTTCACTCTCCCATGGTTGTACGTAACGGGAAATATTTGGAATCAGCTGGTCCTCTTCATGACTCATTCCACTCCTAGAGTGTTTCACACCCAAATCTGTCTGTTGACTGTATCCGAGGTCACTTTGTGGAATCAATATGTGACCCATAGATAACACGGCAAGCCCTTCAATTTCTTTTGTTGTGTAAAACATGACTAGTGGAAACCTGCTACGCATTTCGAATTCAATCCAATCTTAATACGAGTCTGAATTTATTTTCGCATTTAACCAGCAAATCAAGCAGCCTTTGTGTATGCACAGTCGTTTCACAGAAGTAAGTCATAAGACCGATAAGGGCCTTTTCCATTTGTTGACAATTTTTGTGAATATTGTGGACCCTGGGGACATAAGGATCTGCCTCACACGATTCTCAAACACCTTCATGTGTCCATCATCAACTCGTAAGAAAGCAACGGCAGGCCTCTTCTTTGTCTTCTTATTCTGCAATTCTTTTGTGCTGCTAAATGCTTCTCGATTCATTTACCTAGGGAAGTACCTAACTTCAAAACGACACATGCTGAAGAGCAAATTTGGATTATCCTTGCTGTATCTCCCACTCTAAAGCTGTGATGCTTCAAGGGAGACGGTTCTTCATATCGAAGAAAACGCTTCTCCCAAGATTGGCATCATGGTTCATGAGCCTCATTATAGCATCTCTTGGCCAGCACTTCTAATTATTAAATCCGACCATATTTTCATTATTGGGATCCGGATGCTCAGTCAGATATCGCTGGATAAGGTCTCGAGCTCCCTCATGAGTGAAGCTGAACAACATATGCACCCTGTCCATGTACCGAGAGTAGAGCCTGATAGGATGCCGAGTCTCAACCTTTGTGTCCAATAGGTGGTGAACTCATTTGGCCTCTGCAGTCTAGAAAATTTTGGTAGTTTCAGCTCAATCAAGTTCTGTAGTCTGGAAAAATTTGGTAGCTAAGCGACGGAAACATGTGAGTCTTCTTTTGAGCCTTGGTTTCTGATGCAGCTCATTCAACAGAAAACACTTGAACAATTTCTGATATCTCACACGAACTTTAACTGGATATGACGCAGGGCCATGCTCCTTATACCATTCTAATAGCTGACAGCAACGACACTTCGTCCGCGAACGTGATTGCGCCGGTCAAATGGTATAAAACCTTGACTTTCCGGCTCTGCTCCCACGGCATCGGCATATTCTCGAGCAGCTTGTAAACGGCGTGAGGAATGAACTTGAGCGCCCCCAAATACACCCGCGTTTTTCATCTCTTTTCTCCAGCTTTTTTTTTTTTCCTTCCAAAATTTTCCTTAATCTTTTTTTCACAGCAGCTGAAACAACTTTACCTTCCTTTTCATCTAACTATCATAGACAATATTCACTCTCAGCTTCATAGCATGTGGGTACACAAAAGACGTGAAAACGCTCACAGCAAAGTTCAACCAAGAATTGAACTCTAGTTTAATACCAAAGTGAAAATATATTTTTTTTTTGATAAATTTAAAATTCTCTTGCAATTTCACATTTGTCAAATACAACTTCAGTCCAGAAGGAGGTATTTATAAGATTACAAAGGAGCAGTAATAGGAAGTAAATTAAACCAAACCAATGTTCACAAGACCAATAAATCTAGACCAAATCAGATCCCTAATTAGATCAAAACAAATCTCTAAAATACTTTCTTTTATATTTTTCAACATGCAGTTGATTATAAAGTAGCTACAAAATTGCGTAACCTTCAAACACTTCAGAGATTTTTAGAGACAATAAATGTATAACCAATTTCGTGCTGCTTAAGGACTTCTAAATGCTCTAGAATTGCACAAGCACTTATTTTTAGCAAGGAAACATCAGCCTTGTTTATGACCAACTGCGTGGTACTAGCGGACCATCAAACACTTCAACAAGTACTTATTTTTAAAAAGAAAACACTCACACAAGGAAGCCGACTCTTTAGAGTCTCCCATTTGGGTGTCCGACACTACTACGCTCCAATCAACCATGGAGCCCTAGAACAATTTTTAAGCTGTCTGTGGAGACTGGTCTGCACCATCACTAGCAAAACATAGCAGTATGCCTAGTATGGCTTGCAATCTCCTCGCTCAGTTTCCTACAAGGCTTCAGGTTTATAAATAACCAAGTTAAACAGGAAAATCAATAACCCACACTTACTACTCGTAATTAATTCTCTTTATTCAGATTCTCTCAAACTACTATTTTGACTTACGCATCGGAGATCCTTTGGCTGACAACCTCTCCTGATCTTTTGGTGTTCGTCAATTAGGCTAACGGTGTTTATTATTTTGCAGTTGCGATTTCGTCAATCTAACTTTGTACGAAATTTGCATTCACAATACCCATACATAATCTTTAATACGAGAGTTTCTTCATTATGCAAATCATTATACACCTCAATTTCACTTCACAACAATATTCTCTTTGTGTTTAAATGGTATAACATGCAAAATAATTGTAATAACACAATACATCTTTACAACATATTATTCACCAGATTAAATTAAAGAAATAAAAATCAATCACAAAAATAATACCCTTCTCAAACCAATCACAAAAGCAAAACCCCGACGCAAAAACTCAAAACAACCGTGACCAATCTCCCACCGTCCAATCCCGCAACTCCATTCTTCTCACTATCAGCCGTCTGATCTTCCGAATCATCCGATGGTGCCTCAGCCGAATCATCCACCTCCTTCGGTGCGGGAGCCACCGTCGCCTTAAACAGTTCCGTTGGCTGCAATACCTTGTTCACCTTATAAACCACCAACGGCTCCTGATCGATCACCGTCCCCGTGATCTTCGCCGTCACCACCTCCGTCTCCAAATTGACAACCTCACCGTCACTCTGAACCGTGAAATCGAACTTCTTCGCCTTGTCTGTGGCCAGCGTGTTGACGAGGCCGTTGTTGGATTTGAGATCCTGGAGGGACTGGTAGACCGGGACACCGTGGTAGAGCAGCAGCGACAGCTTCTGGGACGCCGTTAGTTTTTTGTACTTGGGGAGGAAGGCGTTGACGACGGAGTCAGTCGGGCAGAACACCGTCAGGCCACCGTCGATGTTTGTCTCGAAGGTGAAGTCGGCTCCGGAAGCTTTGAGCAAGTCGGCGAAGGCTTTGCAGCCTTGCTTTGAGATGATGGCCGTTAGATTCAGCTGGCTTGGTCCGGCAGTTGGCGCCTCGGCTTCAGCGGAAGTTAGTACCTGAAAAAGGTAGTTGTTTCATGTTATATGTCGGTGGAGTAACATGGCAACGTCCACTAGCTGTACCTGTCCAGTGGACAAAATTAAACATATACCTGACTGATTTGCAAGACAGAGATGTTGTACGGCATCTCCAGCACAGACTTGACATAGAAGGAGTTGAGTTTACCATCATTGTCTTCAGCTCCAAACCCGACTTTACCGCCCTTGAGGTTGGTGATGTTCACGTACCCGGAGGTCCCGGCCGCCACCCCTGTGGCCTGGAACATGCTGCTAGCCAAGGTGGTGCCGTGGGTGATCTGGTGAAGTTTCTTGGAGCCAAAGTAATCCACGAGAACATGGAGGGAGAGTACATTTTTTATGGTGTAAATCGGGAGTCCTTTGGAAATGAGGGATGACATGGCGGCATTGTCGAGGGCGAGGACGGTGATGGTCTGGCGGCGGTTGATCTCAGTGGCGAGGTGGGTAAGGCTGAGGTAGTGGTTGAAGGTGGTGAGGGAGGGGTGCTTGTCGAGTATGCGCGTAATGTTGTGCGCTTGGGACGTTGAGGATAGGAGGAAGAGGAAGAGGGCAGAGAGGGCTAGGGTGGCGGTGATGGCTGATGGTTTCTGCATGGTGGAATGTAGAGGGGATGAATGGAAGGAAGGAGGTGTGTGGTTATATGCGATAAGTGATGAGTGATGGGCAAGCAGTGTAGTAGCTAGTGCTGTACATTGGTGTTTAATGTGGTGTATACGGTCCCTCAAAATGTTGCCAGCTTGGTTTAGGTAGGGATGGATGGATGAGGGCATATAATGTATTAGTGGGCCCTTGGGATGATAATTACATTTATATAATTGTGAGTTTATGAGATTATACCTTACCTTTACGTATAGAATGCACATTATATATGGTAACATCAGTCACTCACGCTCACATGTATAACAATGATTCATTTTAGAAAGAAACTTACAATGAAAATGTAATTGTGGTGGTATGTTTAGTTAATTACGCATTGTCATACATTTTAACTTTCGCACACAATAGTGCATGATTGACTTAAATACAATTATAGTTACATCTTTGTTGTATGAAAGTTCTTCTCATCATGTCTTGCAAATACGTGAACGACTAATGCTAGCACTCTTACAAAGAGACACGTGCGTAGCATTCCGGGCTAATAACGTGATGTCAAGTGAAAAAGTTAAAATAAACAGTATCGTGTTATTGGTTTAAGGTGTCGCAGTTGCATACTATAAGTGTAGGTAAAGGGTAATCACCTAGCTAGTAGTCACCAGAGTTAACAACAATGTTGCCTAGAGGATGTTTAAGTTCCTAAAAAGAGCAATGATTGGAATTTGAAGCTGTGATCGAACCATACTGGTTAAAACATGAAAGCCATGGGTCAGGCACTTAGATTAATAAGAGAGAAATGATTGAATTAGTTGATACATGATTTTCCAAAGATCAAGCTGGTTAATAACATAGAATCATAGATTTGAATATAATTAAGGACTTTTATTCTTCCTATGGGTCCCTAAATTTGAAAAATGGGATGTCAAAACATAATTATTTTGATATAATTTTGAATATAAAGTAGATAAAATGGCAGCATCATTGTCCTCATGCATACGGCCAAGAAAGTAATTATGCTAATCCAGGAGGTGATTAAGCTATATAATAATCCTGATTAGCCAAAACATACAAACAAAAAGGAATTAAATTAAGCTAACAACGTGTGTCGGCAGAAGTATACTCCAGAAAAGCCAGATTGGTTTGAAGAAAGAAACTTGTGAGAGGTTGGACTACATGGACACCGACGCTTGATCTCCTTAACAAAAATACAAATATACAAAATAAATAAACGTATAAAAAGATTCAATAATATTATGATGGTTAGCATTTTATTTTCAAACATATTTTTTATGGTTGCATTGTCTTCTCTCTAACAAGTGAAATTAATTTTTCTTTTGTTGGCGTTTTCTATTTGTGTGTGAATATATTAACTTAATTTATCCTCGCACTATGAATATATTAATCAACTTTTTCAGCTGCAGTTTGAAGGGAATGAACTTCTGTACAGAAAAAGAAAAAAGGAAATTAAAGTAGGTGATTATTGGCTTGTTTAGTGGGTGTAGGTATATATTGTAGGACCTTGTTGAAGTTGAGTGATGTATGGGGGCACACCATAGGATACTTGATATTTATTTTTTTTAAATACAAGGATATTAGTAATTAAAAGGATTTTGTTGCTGATGAGTTAGCCAACTGAGTCTCTCGCATATGTTGGATACGGTCTATTTTGAGCAAGCTTCATCTTTTTTAAAGCAATTATTATTGTCTAATATTTCTAGAATTTCTCAACATCGCCACATTATCTTGTAATTTCTCTCTTGTGGGTTATTAGCCCTTTTGTTTAACCAAAAAAAAAAAAGGCCCGATGTTTTAAACTTTATTAGAAGAAGAAAAGGCCACAGGAAAAGAAAAAGCAACAAAGATTTTCATAAAACTCGTCAAAATTTCATAATCTTGCTAAATTGTTATGACTGGGCTACACAGTGATCTAGGGCTCCTTCGATGACGCAATTGTTGTTTGGTAAAGTTACTAATGTTAAGACTGGAGTTCTTAAATTAGATAATATTCTAATATATCGTGTACTCTAAGTTTTATTTTGAGCGGTAAAACTTTCTAGTTAGTTTGGAATTGGTTCTTATTCAATTTTAACCACCAAACGAGTGTTGAAGATAACTACAATCTATGCTCATTAAGTTTTGGCTACGGAGCCCAATCAACCTTACTTCATTGATATGCCAAGATGCCACCAACTATAATTGAGTTACAGCATATATACCTTTATACTACAAAGTTATTTCTCTACTTATTCTTCTTCTTGTTTTGATTGATTGGGTTGAGAATTTCATGTCCTTATGACATACCGAGGAATTTTAGACTAGAGTATAGTCATACATGCAAAACAGAAAGATGGACCAAAATAAAAGAAAGATTATATAAAGGGATATCAATTCAGATTCGACGGATTAGAGAGTTTGGGCCTTTCAAGAGAGCGAGAAAGAGATATGGGCTGTTGAAGACCTTGATTTTGTGTGAGGTTGGTCAGTGGAATGAACTAATAAGGACGACATGATTTAAATTGAGTGGTTTGGAGATCCTGATTCGTCGGCTCCAGACACAGACATCCATAAAAAATCTAAATTCAAGGGATATAAACTGAGTAGATAAGTAGATACAATGCAGATATCGGAGACAGATTCACAAATAACTACTCTTTTTTGTAAATGTTTTGTTTATGTCTTTGCATGTGACCATGCAATTAATACATTTCAAAACCATCTATATAATGGGTTCCTTAGATTTAGACATTTACAACTCTTAAATTCTTGACAAAAACCCACATGTATGATATATAACTTCTAAATAAAACCTAAATTTTGAATATGATGTCATGTTGAATAAAAGGCGTCCATGAATTTGTGTTTATTTACAAAATCATGCCACCATATCTCTCATACGTTTTAATTTTGTATGAACTCCCCCAATCCAAAACCTAATTAGATCAACTATATACGGACATATATTCTACATTATGTATACTAATAATACCATAAAAAGAAGTAGGTAAATTAATTTTGTTAAAAATTAAAAAAGCAGATACATTAACTTTGTAAAAATTCGATAAGTACATTATTTTCATATAAAATAAACAGTAGATAAGTTATTTTCATATTAGGTAAATTATTTTCATATATATAATTATATAGTAGGTAAACTACTTTTATAAAATTAAACAATAGATATTGTTGAAATTAAACACTAAATTAGGTATATTCAAATTGAAATATATTGTTGAAATTAAAAATATTTCCAAATCAATTCCTATATCTAGAACCAGATTTCATGGCTACAATATCTTGCCAAATTCAATGCACGTGATCAATTAAAACTTAATTACAAGACTTTTCCATACTGGCTTAGATGAGGGTATATTAGGAATCCAAAAAAATATAAAACTGACACACACACTTAATTTGGTAAGTTGCTTAGTTGGATTCTAATTATTGGGTTTTATTCAAATAAATATGATATGACGGGTTATAGGCTAAAAAAAAGAGTTTGGAGGGGGAAAGTTAAATTTTCAGGTAATGGGTATATCCTCAATCTTTTGGTATTTGCAAATCCTCGTCCAAACATATGGCTACAAAACAAGCAGTGGATCAATTAACTGTGGAAAAATTGTCTTTGCAGAAGGAGCAACCCAACACAAGGAGTTTCACAAGTCAGAATATTCTGTCTCAGTTCTTGGAGGATTAGAGGCCATGAGCTGGAGGGACATTATCAGACCAGGCAATGGGGAAGAGAAGGTGTTTCTGAATTCATCTGGAAAGATTACCTACACCAAATTCACAATTAACAAATTAGGAATCCAAAAATTGGAAGTTTTCAACTTGTAAAGATACTGCACTACTTAAACTGATGAAAGAAAAAACAGATACGTACGTACCTTACAGTTGCAAACGATGAGGGTTACATTTTCGGAGCAAGCAAACTCTTTAAGAAAATCTGCCAGTGTAGGGAAATATTTCCATGGCCTGTTGAAGGCGTTGAGTAAATTGTCTTCGTCCCAAAATTCGTTCAGTGAGATGGTGGTCTCCCTTAAACTTGGAGCTTTCAGAGAAATTTTGGACTTTAAATAACCAGAGAAATCAAAAGAAACTAGATTTGGAGCAGTGATTGTGGCTTTCAAACTATCATGACTTCCATATATATGTAATCGTTTTAGGTGCTGAGCATGAACAACAATATGCTTCAAGTTGCAGAAATCATACAACATTATACTCTCAAGGAGCGAAAAGCTCGATGAAATAAACGTAAAAGGTTCAAGATTCGGAGCATCCCAAACTACAATAACCCGAGCATTGCAATGCTTAACTTCCAAGAACTTGAGACTAGAACTCACAAGATTAATGTTATCGTCTTTTTCAAAATAGGAGGAAGTTCAAGACAAATACTCAATGGAAGGGCACTCCTGAATTAAGAAAAATAGAGCATCACTTTCGAAGCGCACGGCTTTGAGGCTCATAGTTTTCAAAGAGGGAAGAAGGCTTCTATGCATAGTCTCCTCATTACTTGTGTGCATGTTCTTTATTCGCATGTACCTCAAACTGAGAGTAGTTAAAGATTTTGCATCAAGAAAACTCATTCGAGATAAGCAGTAGTAGTTTTGCATCGAGTCCCAATCGCTCTGAAATAATCTACCTAGGGTTATGTCTAACTCTTTGATGTTTCTCTCAAACGAGCAACTCAACAACTTATCTACGATATTGGCGTCCTCTTTGTACAAGTACCCTGTGATGTGAACCCTAAGTTTATCTAATGTATCTTTCCTTTGCTCATCCTTCTCAAAGAGTTCCAGGCATTTCTTCAAGATGTTGATGAACTTTCTGTGTTGATCATGATCAAGATTTTCGTCATCACGACCCTCATCGAAATCTAATATGGAGCCCAAACACCACACGCGGTCCCATTGCTTAGAAGGGAACTTTAACGAAAAACTCCCGGTAATGTTCACTTTAACGAAAAACTACATTTTTACACTAAAAAATCAATCCTGGTACTATTCACTTTACCCTTTATTTTGTTCTTATCGTTAAAACTCAAAGTTTTCAAGTTCTTTTTATTAGTTTTCTTTGAAAGAAAGCTCATCCGGACAGCAGCTTTAGCGGGAAGGACTTGGATGATGTTTTGGATG